GAGTTTCTTTTATATTCTGGATTTCAGTTCTTTACGAGATACGTATTTTGCAAATTTTCTCTTTTACAAGAGAGAAGTGTATGAAGTCTGCCTACCCCAAGGTCACAAAGATTTTATCCTGTTTTCTTGTAGAATTTTTATAGTTCCAGGTTTTCCTTGCAAGTGTAGGACCCATTTTGAGTTCATTGTTTCGTGTGTGGTAGAGGTGATGGTTCTCGGGTCCTTCCCCTTTTGCGTGTGAACGTCCAGTTGTCCATCTCCACCTGTTAACCTCTTGACCGCCCCCCGCATCTGTAGGCACCTTGGTCCAGCCCGTTTGCCGTGGTGCCCTTTGTTCCTCCTCTCTTTTCCATTGATGTGGCCATGCTTGTGCCAATCCACGCTGTCTGGATTACTGTAACTTCATGGCAAATCTGGACCAGGTGGGAATCCTCCAACTTTTGTCCTTTTTCTTTTTTCTTTTTCTTTTTGGTCGTGCCACGCAGCTTGCGGGATCTTAGTTCCCTGGCCAGGGATTGAACCGGGCCCTCGGCAGTGAGCGTGCAGGGTCCTAACCACTGGACCGCCGGGAATTCCCTGACTCTGTCCTTTTTCCAAATTGTTTAGCCTATTCTGGCGTCTCGGATTTCCCATGTAAAGTGTAGGATCGGCTTGTTGGTTTCTACAGAAAAAAAAATTGTGGAGTATTGATTGGGATCACATTGAAACTATGGTTGAGATCAGTTTGGGGGAAAATTGGCATCTTCACCAGGACTGAGTCCTCTGCTACAGGGACTGGCAGGCTGCAGCCCACTGCCTGTTCTCGTGTGACTCATGAGCTAAGAATGGTTCCTACATTTTTAAATGGTTGAGGAAAAAAAAAATCAAAAGAAGAATACTTTAGGACACATGAAAATTCCATGAAATTCAAATCTCAGTGCCCATAAATAAAGTCGTGTTGGAATGAGCCGTGCTTGTGCGTTTGCATTTGTCCTCTGGCTGCTTTGGGGCCTCAGTATGGTCGAGCGGTGGTGAGGTCACCTCACTTGCTCACCTGCCCACCTGCGGTGCCGTCATTGCGAATCACACCTCCGTGTCGTAACTCACCAGCTCGGAGCCCTGTCTGCGTCCCTGTCCCCGCCGAGCGAGCAGGGCACCCGGGCTTGGGAGGTGGTGGCTTTAGGGGCATGAGCGCTGTGCCGAAGGGACGCAATGTGTGTGGGTGCAGCTGCAGGGCTCCTTCACGGAAGTTCGCGAACTGGACAAGAGCCTCCAACAGGGTCTGCTTGCTTATCGGCCGGGCAGGCGAAGCCAGTTACTGGTGGTGACGTCATTCAGTCGTGTTGGTGGCAGCTGGCCGAGGAGCAGCCTTTGGGAGGCTGGTTGCCCAGGTCGAGGGGCTGGGAGTGGGCGCAGGGCGTGCGGGATGGACTCCCCGCGAGGAGACCAGCCTCTGTGAAGAGTCCGCCTGGACCAGGCACAGCCGAGATGTTCAAAGAAGTGGGGGAAATGCCAGCCTCGTGCCGACTGAAGTGGGCTCTACTAGGATGCTGTGTCTGCCCGGCTGGGCTCAGGGAGCCGGGGGGACGTCGTTTCCGGTGCGGCCGCCAGGGTGTCGCGGGACAGGTCAGCCTGGATCGGAGCCCTCAGCACAGCAGCGTCCAGTCTGTGAGGCCTGATGGCGCAGAGAGGCGCGGGGCTGGCATCCTGCTCGTTGCACTGGGTCATCCATCCTCTCCTGTCCTTGGACGTCGGGCTTCCTGGTGCTCAGCCTTTGGACTCAGGCTGATTCTCACCACTGGCTCCGGTCCCCAGCTTGCAGACGGCAGGTCATCTGACCTCTCAGCCTCCAGACCCATGTGAGCTGATTCGTAGGACAAACTGCTATGTGCACGAAACAGAATTTGGTGTGTGGAGCAGAACGGCTTGGCTGGACACCTGGACAAGGCTTGTTAACACATCAGGTGCCTGGAGCCCGTTGTCCGTCGGGCTGCTTGTCAGCAGGCGTTTCTGCAAAATGCTGAGTCTCGTGCTTCATCCAACCTGTTGTGTCAACGGTGAGCTGCACTTGACCTCGAGGAGTTAGCCATCATCAGTTCTGTGAATTTTTATCAGAAGTGGAAGCTGAGGACTTCCCTGGTGGCGCAGTGGTTAAGAATCCACCTGCCAGTGCAGGGGACACGGGTTTGGCCCCTGGTCCAGGAAGATCCCACATGCCGCGGAGCAGCTAAGCCCATGGACTGTAACTACTGAGCCCGCGTGCTGCAACTACTGAGCCCGCGTGCTCCAACTACTGAAGCCCGCACGCCTAGACCTAGCCTGTGCTCCACAATAAGAGAAGCCACCGCTTGCCGCAACTAGAGAAAGCCTGTGCGCAGCAGTGAAGACCCAACACAGCCAAAATAAAAGGTGGAAGCTGAATATCTTGACTTGCCCTACCATGCAGCAGCTTGAGGGCGTAGCAGTGGTTAAATTTTACTGTGATTTCTTAAACTTGGGGCAGAAATTAGAATTTTTCAGAATGAGAAGAACACTCAACCACGAGTATCAAACACTGAGTGCCTTTGGAAATTCGTTTTTGCTGCATACTTGATAATGGTCCTTTATGAATTCATCTGAAAATTGCATGAAATGGCACTTACGGCAAACTTATACTGTGGTACATGCATCTTGGTGATGACTGACGTTGTTTGAATCCCAAACTGCTTTATATGGTTTCTTACTCTCAGATGTTAAAACGAGAAATGGGATCTCCATTCCGACCCAGATTTGCATCGGGCATGTTTTCTGAGTTCAGACCACAGTCCCCGCAGTGTGTTTTGGGCCTCAGTGCACGTGCGAAGGAGGTTTCTGTGTTTCAGAAGCCACTTAGCTGCCTTGAGGAGGTGCCCCACCATCTGCACTGTGTCACCTGCTGCAGTTCTGGGTCAGCAAAGCCGTCACACTCATGGCTGAGTTCAGTACAACAAAAGGATATACACCAGAATCAGCAGAGGTAAAAAGGTCGAGGCTTTCAGCTGGCCTCTCCCAGGGCCACAGGTGGTGAGACCACACGCAGCTCGGTGTCCAGGCTGTTTATCCAGGTCGGTCACGTAGCCGTGACTAACCATCAGCGTGGCTGGCCTTAGTGCCCAGCCCTCTGGAGGTCAGGTTGATCTGTCGGCGTGGTCTGTGTGGCCCGTGCCCCGAGGTGGGCAAAGGCTCCCATCAGGCAGGACCCTCCAGGGGCTTTGGGGCGACCTCCCAGGAGCAGGTCAGGGGCCACAGCTTCCTTTGGACGTGCAGGGTGTGGATGACCCAGGCCTGCTGGGATCACCCTTCACTGCACAAATGCTGAAAGGGAAAGGTCAAGAGAAATCTCAGAGAGTCCAGTATGAGTGCTCAATTAAAATTTCACGCTTGCAGATGGATATCGTTGTTTGGGTACTTTTTATGCAGAAAGACATAGAGGCCGCCTCACGGGTCGGCATTAACAGGATGGGTTTTCGTGATCCAGAACGTGAACTTGAGCCCCGATGAAGCAAACTGTCCTCCCCCAAAGCAGAATCCCTTAGTAGGCCAGGATTATCACAAAAAAGTATACTCAATTATTATTGTTTGGATTTTAATTTCATTGGCAAAATGTTTGTGGAAATGTATTCCGTTAATACCCAAGTGATGTCTTTGGTTTAGCCTCTTGTCGTGCGAAGCCTGAGGTATTTACTCTCTGCCCCTGTACCGAAAGAGGTTGACGGTCTGTGTTTTGATCCATGATGTCTTATGTTACGATTTATTTAGATTTTGTTGGTTTTTCTCAGTAGCGTTTTGTAGTTTTCAGCATACAGATCTTTGCACAGAGCTTTTGATCTTTAAAGATCTGTAGGTTGTTAAATTAATACTCCGGTACTTGTGTGAGCTATTGCAAATGGTGCTTTTAATACACTGTTTTTGTATCCTATGAGCTTGCTAAACCCTCACTCGTTCGTTTTTCTTTTTTAAGTGAAAGCAGGTTTATGGAGAGGGCAGCACGTGCCGTTGGCAGAATGCAGTCCATCTCAAGGCAAGAGCGGCCCCTCACTCGTTAGTTTTAATAGCTTTTTGTAAACTCTGGGAATTTCTCTGTGGACAGTCATGTCCTCTGCATTTAGAGAGTTTTCTCTCTTCCTTTCCAATCTGTACGCCTTTCGTGTGTTTATTTGTTCTCCTCGTGGCACCGACCAGGACCTGTGGGTGAGCAGCAGTGCAGAGGATCGACTCCCGTGCCCTCTTCCAGCTTTAGGGGAGGGCACCGTGTTTTCATCAGTAAACGGGACTTCACTGTAGGTTTTTGGTAAACGCCTGCTAGCAGGCGAGGATGTTCCCTTGAATTCCTAGTTTGCGTCAGAGGTTTTTTGTTTTTTAACAAATTTATTTATTTGTTTTTTATTTTTGGCTGCGTTGGGTCTTCGTTGCGGTGTGTGGGCTTCTCATTGCGATGGATTCTCTTGCGGAGCACGGGCTCTAGGTGTGCGGACTTCAGTAGTTGTAGCACATGGGCTCAGCAGCTGTGGCTTGCGGGCTCTCGAGCGCAGGCTCAGTAGTTGTGGCGCACGGGCTTAGTTGCTCCGCGGCATGTGGGATCTTCCCAGACCAGGGCTCGAACCCGTGTCCCCTACGTTGGAACCCGTGTCCCCTGCGTTGGCAGGCGGGTCCTCAACCACTGCGCCACCAGGGAAGCCCCTGTGTCAGAGTTTTTATCAGGCTCTGTGTAGGTTTCGTCAGCTCCTCTGCATCTGTTGAGATGGTTTTTCTGCTTCATTCCACTGCTGTGATTTCGATGTGTCCCCAGGTGTGACTCCCAGTGGTCAAGGGGCGTTGTCCCCTTGCTGGACAGCCAGCTTCCATGTGCAGAGACGTGCTGAGAAGCTGTGCTCCCAGTTGGTGAGGGGCACTGCTCTGTGGTCTCTCGCGGTGTCCGGCCTCCCGAGCCACCGGGGGCTCCCTGCTCTAGTGCTTTCTGGGAGAGTTCGTGTGGACTGTGTTCAGCCTCCCTTCCGAGCTCCATGCGATTCACCAGCGACGCCATCTGGGCCGGGGAGAGGGGCCGGGGCTTCTCCTCTTCCTTCGTTCTCCCTTTGGAAGGCGGTTGCCTCTGCGCTCCGTCCCCTTCGCGGGTGCAGGGGCGGCTCGTGTCTCCCCCCGCTGCTGCTGCCTCTCCCCGTCCTGCCTCTTTCTTTGTTCCCCACCTACTGAAGCACGAGTTACAGGCGGTGAAGCCCAGTCCTCGGAAGCTCGGGGCAGCTGCTGGCAGGTGTGTAACTGCCGCCCGGGCACAAGACGCCCCGTCCCCCGAGCCCCCCGCCGCCCCGTGTCCAGGGCGCCTTTCCTGGCGCTGCGGGGCTCTGTCGCTGGACGCAGACCTGCTGCCTGCCGGCCCCGCCCTCCCGGGAGCGTTCGGGCGTCTCCAGCTCCTGACACGCAGGAGTCATTATCTCAGGTGTAATTTGCTCTTTATCTAGTTTCTTAGAACGAAAGCTTGGGTGATTGACTTGAGACCTTTTTATAAAAAGTGCTTAGTTGAGATAAAATCTACACGTGATCAAACCCTCCCGTCTGGAGTGTACGGTCCAGTGAGGGGCAGCGTGGCCGCAGTCGCCCCGAAACAAGCTCGTGCCAGCCATCCCCTCCCGCCAGCCAGCCTCCGGGCACATCCCTCCCGTGATCCCTCTGGGGTCTTCACCTCCGTCCGGGGGCACCTGGGCCGCGTGCACGTGCAGGCCTCAGCGGACTCCAGCCAGGACAGCCTCCCGCTCAGCCGTCCCCTGCGGGGCTGGTCTCGCGGCCGTCCTGGGCTTTCCCGGGTGGGCCCCCTGGCCTCCTGCCGGGGGCCTCCCTGAGCCAGAGCCCCGCTCGCCCTTGGGGGCGTTGGGGAAGCGGAGAGCACGTGTGGTTTTCCTGTGAGGGGACCTGTGCTGACTTGAGGTCTGGGGGACCCGGCAGGGGCGGCAGCACCCTCAGGGCCCCGCTCCCCTGGGCCCCCGACCTCGTCCCGCCCCCGGCGAGCTCCGTGTCTCCCACCCGGGAAGCCCCGGCCTCCGTTCAGCTCTTTTGCCTTTGGAGAGGTGGCGGGACGGCGGGATGACCGGGGCCCGGCAGCCTCCGTGCCGACGTGGTCTCTGGGCCCGGCCGTAGCGGTGCCTGTGACCGCCCTCCCCTCCGGGCCGGCTGCAGCCCCTGCGGCCCCCACCCCCCGCCTGAGCCTGGCCCCCGCCCGCCACCGCACGTGCAGGTCCTGCCTCTTTCTTTGTTCCCCACCTACTGAAGCACGAGTTACAGGCGGTGAAGCCCAGTCCTCGGAAGCTCGGGGCAGCTGCTGGCAGGTGTGTAACTGCCGCCCGGGCACAAGACGCCCCGTCCCCCGAGCCCCCCGCCGCCCCGTGTCCAGGGCGCCTTTCCTGGCGCTGCGGGGCTCTGTCGCTGGACGCAGACCTGCTGCCTGCCGGCCCCGCCCTCCCGGGAGCGTTCGGGCGTCTCCAGCTCCTGACACGCAGGAGTCATTATCTCAGGTGTAATTTGCTCTTTATCTAGTTTCTTAGAACGAAAGCTTGGGTGATTGACTTGAGACCTTTTTATAAAAAGTGCTTAGTTGAGATAAAATCTACACGTGATCAAACCCTCCCGTCTGGAGTGTACGGTCCAGTGAGGGGCAGCGTGGCCGCAGTCGCCCCGAAACAAGCTCGTGCCAGCCATCCCCTCCCGCCAGCCAGCCTCCGGGCACATCCCTCCCGTGATCCCTCTGGGGTCTTCACCTCCGTCCGGGGGCACCTGGGCCGCGTGCACGTGCAGGCCTCAGCGGACTCCAGCCAGGACAGCCTCCCGCTCAGCCGTCCCCTGCGGGGCTGGTCTCGCGGCCGTCCTGGGCTTTCCCGGGTGGGCCCCCTGGCCTCCTGCCGGGGGCCTCCCTGAGCCAGAGCCCCGCTCGCCCTTGGGGGCGTTGGGGAAGCGGAGAGCACGTGTGGTTTTCCTGTGAGGGGACCTGTGCTGACTTGAGGTCTGGGGGACCCGGCAGGGGCGGCAGCACCCTCAGGGCCCCGCTCCCCTGGGCCCCCGACCTCGTCCCGCCCCCGGCGAGCTCCGTGTCTCCCACCCGGGAAGCCCCGGCCTCCGTTCAGCTCTTTTGCCTTTGGAGAGGTGGCGGGACGGCGGGATGACCGGGGCCCGGCAGCCTCCGTGCCGACGTGGTCTCTGGGCCCGGCCGTAGCGGTGCCTGTGACCGCCCTCCCCTCCGGGCCGGCTGCAGCCCCTGCGGCCCCCACCCCCCGCCTGAGCCTGGCCCCCGCCCGCCACCGCACGTGCAGCCGGGCCGGGGGAGCGGGGCGCCGGCTCCCGGGCTGGCGGCTCGCGAGGCTGACGCGCTCTCGCCCGTTTGCAGACTACGTCTACTTCGAGAACTCCTCCAGCAACCCGTACCTGATCCGGAGGATCGAGGAGCTCAACAAGGTAGCGTGCGGCCCCGTCCCTGCTGGGGGGCGGGGGTGCCCCTCCCCGGAGAGCCCATCCCCGAGGGTCCCTGGTAGGGTGTTAGGAGCCGGTCTGGGTTGGGAGGTTCCCGCTGAGGCGTGAGGGAAGCCGCCTGGGCGCCCACAGCCCGAAGGTGCCCTGCCCGTCTCCCTCCTCGCTCGCTCGCTCCGCGTCTGCCGAGCGTCCCGGGCAGGCGCTTATGAGTGGACCAGGGGGCGGGGCCCCCGGAGCCCTCCTGGGCCAGGTGGGGCCCCGTGGGCGTGGGCTCGCAGGTTCGGAATGGCCTCTTTGGTCAGAGGAGTGGGCGCTGTCCCGTGCGGACCCCCAAGCCCGGTGGGGGAAGCCCCCCACGTCTCCTGCCGCCCTCCTTAGTTGGAGGCGTGGGAGAGGGCACCGGTGTGACCCTCCTCCGAGGCCGCGGCCGCGGCCACGGCGGTGCCTGGTCAGCAGGGCCCTTGGCCCTGCCGCTTCTCTCTCCCCTGGTTCCTGCAGAAGGGCGGCTGTGGACCCCCGCCCTGCAGCAGCCCCCGTCCCGGAAGCACTGTTGTCACTCGTGTTGGCTAGGGGCCACCTTGTTGTGCCTCCGTGTGGCCGGCGGGGAGGAGCTGCTTTCCTGGACCTCAGGCCTTGGGGCAGTGCAGCCGATTCTCGGGACCAGGCAGGGTGGGGCGGGAAGGTCAGGGTGCTGGTCCGCCAAGGACCCTGACCCTGCGGCACCCTGACCCTGCGGCCGTGCCTGCCGGGACCAGGAGATGGGCGGCGTGCCCGTGCCCCGAAGCCTCGGCCCCGGCCTGAGTGTGTCAATGACCGGGGCTGGGGGCGGTGGCCGGATGTCCCGTGAGGCCACCACACGGCTGGAACCGGTACGCTGGCGGGCGCCTCCCCCGAGCCCTGCTCACCGCCCTCTGTAGCCGTAGGGCGGGAGGGTGCAGCCCGTGCCCGCTGCTGCGATGGGAGCAGGCGTCTGTCCCGCCACTGCCCGCCCCCCCACACACACCCTGTGCAGATCACTGGAGGCGTGGCTGGGGGCCAGGCCTCTGCGTGGAGTCATCTGGTAGGCGGGGCCATGGCAGCCAGTGGTCACAGTGTGGCCACGGTGCCCTCACTGTGGCCGCGACACGCCACCATGTGTGAGGGAGAGGCAGTGCCGCCACGTGAGGGTGGATGCAAGCGTGGGCACCAGGAAGCTCTGCCTGGTGGGGTGGTGGAAAGGGGCGTGGGTCCAAAGCACCGGAGAGCACGGATGTCTGCTGTGGCCCTCGGGGTCCTCGGAGCCCTGCACGCCTGCTGACCTCCCCTCCCACCCCACGGGGCATGGGGGCTCCGTCCCAGCTGGAGAGGTGGGCACAGCCCAGGCGATTGTAGTTCAGGCAGGGGCTGAAAATAGGGTCAGTTCGAGAGCTCTCCCCTGACGGCCCCAGGATGCTGGGCAGCCTCCTGTGCAGAGGGAGGTGGAGAGGTGGGGTGCTCTCTGGGGGCAGATCTGAGCCGCTGGCGTCGCGTCCCAGCAAAAGGCCTGCTCTCAGCCTGCGACCTGGACGGAGCAGGGAGGACGGCTTCCACCGTGAGATCCATCAAAACAAACCGAGGAGAGAGCTGATGAGGGCACAGAGAAAAACTGAGGCCAGACGAGCCAGGGGCATCCTCAGAGAGACGTGGCGGCCGCTGTGACTGGGGAGACTCAGGAGTGAGAAGAGGCTCCTGGAAGTCAGTAGCAGAAACTGGGACGAAAACACAGAGAGAGAAAACTCAGAAAAGTAGAGAGTCCTCCAACGGCCCAACGTCCAGTTAGTAGGAATCAGAGGAGACGAGGGCTCTGCAAGCAGAGGAATGGCCTGAGAAAATGCCCCCACCCCAAGGTCCTCCAGAGCCACAGCCCCGTCCAGCCCCCGGGACAGCGGGCACCCCGGCGGAGGGCACCCTGCGGGCTGCTGACCAGTCCCCACGCCGCCCGCCCAGAGCAGCGGGGGGCAGCGCGGGGTCCTGGCGGGGCCCTGGAGCGGACCCTGGAGTGAGCACTGAGGGGTCGGGAGGAAGCAGGGGCATGTAGACTGGGGCAGGGGGCGCGGGGTTGCTCCGCGCTTTGTCTCTTTTCTGTAAATGAAAACAAGTCTAAAATGAGTTTTCTTGGCGAAGCCCAGCTCTTTTGAGCCCCTCGGAGCCCCTCTACTGGGCCGTGCCTGACACCAGTTCCCCCAGCCCTCCCGGGACTCTGGGCTTTCGTGAGCTTTCAAAGTAACTGTCGAGTTTTCTCCTTAGAACTTTGATTGGATATATATGACATTTATGTTGTTTTCACGACGAGTTAAATCTTTACACTACTGGAGAAAATTGCCGTTGTGAAAGAACAGGAAAAGGCTGACAGGGGTGTGTGAGAATGGGGGTGCGTGGAGGGGGGGCAGAGGGCAGACCCTCGGGACGGGCGTTGGCGGGGGCGGCGTGGGGACCAGGCCCCGTGCGGGCCCTCTGGGTGCCAGCCAGGCAGGAGAGGCCCAGAGAGGACCAGACGGAGGCCCCGGGAAGCCTCTGTCATGGGATTAGAAGCCAGGTTTTAGGGAGTCAGGTTGGACGTGGGGTGTGGGAGTCTCCGAAAAGTCCAGCAAAGGATGAAAGGCAGACGCCGCTGACCCCAGTGGGACATCTCCCCGCATCCCACGTTGTCCTCCAGCAGGGTCCTCCTGGGGGCCCAAGGACCCCACTCCACCTGCTCCCAAGCCGTGGCCACCCCCAGCCTGTGGGAAGGCCCCCTGCCGTCCTGCCCTCGCTCCCAGGCCACTGAGCCGGCCTCCGTGAAGACAGGAAGTGGGCGAGGGTGCCCTGCAGTCGCTCCAGCTTTCCTCCCACAGGCCCTTTGGGACCCCAGCCCAGGGGGCGACGCAGGCAGGTGCAGGAGACACGTGGGGGGTGTGAGGGGCTAGGCAGCAGGGGTCCGGGCAGAGCACCAGAGGGAAGAGCGCTCCGGAGCCCTGGGTCTCCAGGGTCCAACCCAAGCCGGGCTCGCAGAGCTGAGGTTGTGCGGAACAAAGCACAACCCCAGGAGGTGCACGTTCTCGGGGGCCCCTGGGAGGGGCTACACCTGGTGTGGATCCAGGAGGGGGCATTGCTGCGACTCCACAGGCCCGCTGGGGGGCAGCCTCCGTGGCTCAGAGACTTGGACAAAGCCCTGAAGACGCAAGGCCCAGGTGCTCCCGGAGGCCGGGACCGTGGCTGCCGCGGGACGCTCTCGCGTGGTCCTTCTAGACTCTGTCTGGTTGCTTCTGTGGTCCTGACGCGGTGCCAGATCATCTCCGTCGTGTTGAAGGCCCCTCGTCATTCCAAGCTCAGCGGACAGTCTCCAGGACCATTTCTATGAGGCGCTTTTTGGTCTGGGAATCCCATCTTGCAAAACTCTGGGCACCCTTGAACACTGCATATGTTTACGGGTCTGACACAGCCATGCTGACAACCTGACAAGTCGTGCTTCTAAAAACCCAGTCTTCACACGCTGAAGACGGACGCGTCATCTTCAGGCCCTCTCACACTCACTTGTTTTGATACTTGATCTCAGCTTTCCTGGAAGAATTCTTCATGCCCTTTATATTCCTTCGTGGACTGGAGTGAGGATGGTTTTCATCAGTGTGCACTCTGCAGTTTTGTGATGAACCTGTAAAGCAGCGGAGTTGATAGCACTTTTAACTTACGCTCAGTGATGTGAAAAATTCCGAAGGCTTTTTCTTGGGAAAAATTCCTGGTCTAATGGAATTTAATAACTAAAAGGGAAATAATTTTCATAAAGATAATTTTGTTTAATGTTATAAATGCTGCTGTGCTAAACTCTACAAAGATTAGAATTGTGATAAAATCCTTGCATTATTATTAAAAATTTTGTGAACTTGTTAGTTAAGAAGAAACATGTTCTCGGTGTGAGGTCACCACCCGTGGGCTTCGCGGCGTCCTTGCTGCTGCTTGTTCTGTCCATGTTCGTTGGACGCTTTGTAAGCCCGGGTGGTCCCAGGCCGCAGCCGCCGAGTGGAGGTCAGTCCTGGCCGCTGCCGCCCCATCCTGGTGCCGAGGCCGACGCTTAGCCCCGCCGCACTGCCCTGCGTCTCGGAGGCGGATCCGGGCCGCAGGGCCGCGCCTCTCGTGTGCTGCCCAGGTTTCTGCTCGTGGCGGTTGACGGAGGCCCACAGTCGTTGTCCTTGATCACACCCCCTCTGGTGCCCGAAAGGAAGGGGCAGCTCCCGAGGCCAAGGCAGAGCTGGCCTTTCTGGTGGCCGGGGTCCACCTGGTGTCCTCAGGCGGCTCGGGATAGGACAGGAGTGGGGGGTGCAGACTCGGTTTAGGTCCGGTGTGCGTCCCCTCCGTCAGCCAGGGTTGCCACTGCCCTCCAGGGCCCTCCCTGGTCACGCCTGAGGCCCCGTCTGGGGGACACCCCTGCGGGGAGCCGCAGGCCCGCGGGGGCACGCGTTCCTTAGATGCTGCCTTCCTGTTGCAGACGGCCAACGGGAACGTGGAGGCCAAGGTGGTATGCTTCTACAGAAGGCGGGACATCTCCAGCACGCTCATCGCCCTGGCCGACAAGCACGCCAGTGAGTCTCCCAGCCCGCCCCTCCCGCCCGCCTGCAGCTGCCACCTCAGCCTCCGGGCGGGTGTAGACTGAAGTCCATGCATGTCCCTGGGGCCTCCTTCCTTCTCTGAGAAGTGACCCTGGCCGTGCTTGTCCTAGGGTGTGGCTGCTCTCATCTGCCTGAGGAGTTTAACTGGGGGACTTTGCAGATCCTTGGTTGGACCACTCCTTGGGTGGCGCAGGGAGCGCTGGGCCCTGGGCTCCAGGCCTGCGGGGGGAGGGGCAGGGCCGCTGGCGCTCTTGTCCAGGACGGGCCTCTGTGCCACGCAGGGTGGACGCGGGCTGTGCGGCCGACCCTGAGGGAACAGCCGGTTCTTTGCCGGCCTCGTCTGGCCTCACGGGAGGGTGGGATCCCACCTTTGGGTTTTGGCCTCTGTCAGCAGCGTCCCTGTGGCACGCCAGTGGTGGAGCCTGAGGCTGTGCCCAGAGGGGACAGAGATGGGATACAGTGCCTCTCAGCCTCCCACCCTAAAGCCTGTGCCCGCCACCCCTGCACTCTGGCCTCCCGGTGCCGAGGAAAAGAGCTGGGGTCTTGGGGGTGCACAGCTGCGTGGCCCAGTGGAGTGGTCCGTGCAGTCGCTGGCCCTGCACGTGTCAGCACGCGGGCTCCCGTTCGTGCTGGCGGGGCGCTGGCGGGGGCCTTGGGGGTGGCGCTGGCGGTAGGTGACCTGGGGTGTCAACGACAGGATCTCCTACCCGTGTCTGCCCCTCGGCCCAGAGCGACTGCAGTCCCTGCCCCTCGGCACACGGCGCGCCGTGTCCACGGGCCCAGGCTCTCCCGCTCTCAGGCCCCCGCGGGGAGCTTGGCCAGGTGTCAGGCCCCGAGACCCGTGGGAGGAGGGGGTCCTGCAGAAGGGTTGGAGCTGGCAGGGTGGGCAGAGGCCCTGCGGTGCCGGCAGGGCTTCTGCGCGCAGGGAAAGCTCCTTGCCGGGGACTTAGAGCCAAGCTGCAGGGAACACGTGTCACGCGCACGGGGTGTGCTGCTCCGAGGAGGCCACCGGCTCCCACCAGCTCACCGCCTCTCGGTGCAGGGCCTCGGCTGTTTTCTCAGGAGCCTGTACTGGCTGCTCCGTCTCGCGGTGATTTGTGCAGAAACCACGTTTCTCGGGGTCGACTCTCCTGGCGTGGCTCATCTGTGAGCTCGCGGCAGCTGGGGCGAGGCTGGTGCACCTCGCTGCCCAGGGCCTCGCCCAGCGTCAGGGCATGCGTGTGGGGACACTCTGGGGGCCCTTCTGGCAGGAAGGGTAGAGACCCAGGGGAGCCCACTGCACGGTCAGATTAGCTGCTCGAGTTTCTTCTGGGCCCGGGGGCCTGAGGGACAAGCTTCCGCCCTGCCCCTACCAGGACGTCCAGCCCCTGGTGCAGCACAGATGTCCTGGGGCCAACAGGCCTCCCCGAAGCGGTAGAGCCCTTGCTGGGGTCTCCAGGCCACATTCTGCTCCGCCACGGCCCTGTCTCGAGGTGTGTGGTCCCCTCCCATAGAGCTGTCCTCCTGAGACCAAGGCCTTGCCCGAGGGGACAGTGGGCACAGGTGACAGGTCCTCCCTGGAACCCCCCAGAGCCAGCTGCAGGGGCTCGGGAGAGCCAGTAGGGTGTGTGAGCTGAGCCGGGGTAGGGTGGGAGCCCGGAGCCTGCCCAGACCTTGTGGGGAAGGCCCCCCAGCTCTGAGCCCAGGGCCCGGGCACCCTGGATCTCAGAGGGAGGGGCTTTCGTGTCAGGGGCCATGTGCCCTGAGTTCCTAGAGGCCAAGGGCCACAGCCCACGCTCGTTTGAGGGGCCGCTGGGGACGGGGCCTGGGGGTTGTGGGGAGGCTCTCTCCTGGTCTCCCGGGGGCTGGAGGTTGGCCTGGCCCAAACCCTGGCCACCCCTGAGGCCTTAAGCGTGGCCCTGGGGTGTGCGTCCCTGGGTCCCTCCTCACCGTTGCTGATGGCAGGGAGCCCTGGTGGGCTGGCGATCTCAGAGCCACTGTGAGCTAGTTTCAGGACGGGGAGGGGCGGTGTCTGCAGACCCAGAACGGATGCTCAAGGGCCTGTCGCGGGCAGAGGCCAGGGTGGCTGCCCCCGGCCCGGTCCCTAGCCATGCTGCGGGACCAGCGGGGCCGTCACCGGACAGGCGTGAGCAGGATAAGGTGTGGGGGTGGTGGGCCGGCTTCCGGGTGCTGGTGACGTCCCCGGGAGTGGGCAGGGAGGTGCCGAGGCCAGGCTCCCGTGGCCCACGGCCCGGGCAGACCGGCCCTGCCCCTCTTCCCCCAGCGCCCCCGCCCCTAGCCTTGACCTCCGTCTGAGCTGCCGCAACCAGGGTTTTTTTTGGGGGGGGGGTGCGTGTCCCCTGCCCAGGGGCACCAGGACTCCTTGCAGCCACCACAGGAGGGCAGCAGAGGGCCAGGGGCCTTGTGGTGGCCCAGAGACTTGGGGGGGCTGGGCTCCACGCCCCTACCTTTGGGTCTTGGGGCAGAGGATGGGTTTCGCCGTGTGTCTGGTTTCCCCTACCCCACTGTGCATGACCCCAGACCGCCAGTGTGTGTTTGGGGGCACTCCAGCCCCAGGGCTGCATGTGCTGGGGTCCACATGGTGGAGACCTTCCACAGCCCCACCGCATGCCAGTTTCGAGTTTCAGGCTTTCCCTGTGCCCATCGATGGCCCAGCCCTGGAGGTGTGGCCGAGGCTCCCCGGGTCACCATCCGCAGGCAGGAAGCATGTGCTGCTGACCTGGCCTTGGGACACGTCCCCCGCCC